TCCCAACACATGACTGCACATTAGACTTCAAAGTAAGTGATGGAACACCCAAGAAGAAGATAAGCATTCATCAGTCATCACCAAGTCATGCTAGCTATTGCTTCTTGGAAAAACTGGTTGCACAACCATTGACCGCAACATACTGACATAGCTAAATATACATAGAACATGACTAAGGATGTTTTTACTTGGACAGTTTTCAGTCCCAGACCAGAGCAACTTGGACAATTATAAAATACACAGAGACCACACATTTACCAGATCAGACCAGAAAAGTTCAGATCAAACCAGAAAATTCCAGTCCAAGTAAAAACATCCTTACAAGAAAACTGACAGTAAAACTACTTAAGTACTACAGTATCAAACGAATTATAATCATGAAATCATGCCAGTGGGGTAAATATAAAAACTAGTTCATTGCGGATGTTGCCTAATGTTTTCAATCTGACAGTGGGCAAAGATAAAACTAGAACATTTATTTAATGTTTCAATATGCCATTCTAGTATACAGGCACAACAATACGTGTTTTGTACTTGTCATTGGTTTATTTTGCAAATCAATATTTTCTTAATGAGACTCCAAAAATTGTACCAAGTAATTGAAGACTAAAACTAAATCTTTCAAACGAATAGCTACAAACTAAGAGCATTAATGTTTGATAGATTATATCAGAGGTCATGTACCATCATTTGCTTTTCAACTTCATAACGTGGCCCATCATACTCTTCCAGAAGGGTTCTTGCCAAATTCGAATCCAACCTTAGTGACCTAAAGGAAATAAGTTTGAACAAAAAAGTGTCTAGTATATTACAGTCTATTGCAACAAGCAAAAATAGAGATATATCAGTATAAAATAGAATTTCTATTTGTTTTGTTGCTAACCACATAGTTCTCTGCAAGCTCTTATCCCCAGGAATTTCCTTCAACTCCACTATGAAGTCCCTAAACCCAACTCCAAAATTCACACCATCATCCTCCTTGAATGTTAGCAGCTTAACCTTATCAGTTTTTGAGTACTTCTGAAAATCCTTGAACTCCATTCTTGGTAACTCCTCCACATTCTTCTCAAATTCCTCAACTTCTGATAAGTTAGACCGGAAAATCTGGTCTGGAACGTACAACTTCCCTTTATATCCCCTCAAAATGTCCTTCAAATACACCTCCTCAGGATTCCCTGGATGACCTTCTTTGTGCCTTTCCCCTGAAAATCCCTTCAAATTCAACCTCTTTAGAATCTCAAAGGCCCCATTATCAAGACCTGTATTCTGCAACGCCTCTTTTTCCTTCTGAGTAAGTACCTTATCCCCTAGTTTGTATTTGGGTTCTACTTGGCAGGGGTTTTCCTTCAAAACCCTTGTCACAAAGTCGTCTTCCGTTCCTTCTCCAGTACTGAACTGTGTAGAAGTCTTCGAATTAGAATCCGGTTTGCCGAGGAATGCGCGTGGGAAGCAATAAGGCGAAGATCTTTTTAGGATGGTCGGAGGGAAAATGAGATCTCGGTGCCGATTGTGAAGTGATAAATTTAGTATGAATGAGCACCGGAGGTGAATATTCTGTCGGCGTTCAATGAAGGTGGCTGATGATTTCCATGAGTTTGCCGAGCCAGCTGAAGAGCAAAACATGGCAGCTTGCCTGAGTCGTTTCAACACAGAAAAGTATGGAGATTCCGCAGAAGTTTTGGCATTTACCCGAATGCTACGCTAAATGTATGCTGGAGTGTTCTGGGAGCTGCAAGTCTGCAACGGGAGTGAGAAGAATCTTAGCTAGGCCGATAGGTGAAGATGGGTGGGGATTTTTACCTTTTCTTCAAAAATAAATTTATCCGTATCCGTGTTCTTGAGATTTCAGAGTTGAGAGGGCTATCATCACTAAGGTCACACGGGTAAGGGAGTGTTTGCCTGCTTAAAAAAAAGCACTTTTGGAGATGTAAGGAAAAAGTAATTAGTAGGAAAAGTTGATAGTGTTTGAGAAAAAAATGATTTTGAAAAGTAAAAGTTGATAGTGTTTGGTAAAATAAGTGCTTTTTGTGTAATAGAATGGGGAAAAGCACTTTTCACACGCAAGCCGAGAAAAAGTAAAAATTGGTAGTGTTTAGTAAATAAGTGCTTTTTAAAGCCAAAAGCTGAGAAGTGCTTTTTTTTAAGTGATTGCAAACACTCCCTAAAAAGAGTAGAAGACTAATAAAAAAGAACGGAAGGAGTATGATTGTAGAATGGGTGTGGCAAGTGGAAACAAATATATACAATTACATGTTTTATCTTTTATAACAAATAAAATCATAAAATTTATTTAGAAGTTTATATATACCCTCAACTTTTAAAAGTGCAAAAATTGATTCGGGTTCCTATAAAGAAGCAAGATTAATCTTATTGACTTTAAATATAAAAAAATAAAAATTCAAAAACACACAAAATAAATTATAAATTTGAAATTGAAAAGTAAAAAACACAAACAAAAATCTACTTGTGTCCAATTCTCAATTTTATTATTTATATCACAATTTAATTTTGTTAGTATAAACTATTTTTTCAAATTTTTACTATACAATTTAAGATTCTTTTGGAAAAGTGTTAACATATGTGTTGCATAGAAAAATATCCTTAATTTTTTAAAATTCTTTGCACTATAAATTACGGAGTATATATTTTGTATTATGATAAATAGTCCAAGATTACAAAATAGTGGATATAAATTTATCAAGGTAAAACAAAATCAAAGAATGTTACTTCAAAAAATCTAACAATGTGTTCAAAAATTCGCAATAAGACTAAAATTAGTATTTATGAATTTGAAGTGCTTCATTTACAATGAAAAAATAACAATTATGAATCTTAAAATTAAAAAGTTCATATTTTACATTAAAATACATGTTTACTTTTATTTCTTTGATTTTTTTTTGAATTTCGAATTTATAATTTATTTTTGGTTTTTTTAAAAATACGGAGTATTTTATTTATTTAAAGTCAATAAGCGTAAATTTGTTCTTTTATAGGAATATGAAGGGTATTTTTGTACCTTTTGTTCTCGCTCCATATTGAAGGGATATATTTGTACCTTTTCCATTTCTAAATTGAAGAGGTGTTTGGAACTAAGTATGTTTTTTAAAACAAACTAGTGTTTTACCCGGGTGTTGGTCTTATGGGGGATCAGCACCACCCTTTGATTTAGGGCTTAACCGCCCAACCTGTCGGCACCACAAAGTGGTGCAGCCCCTCATGTCCATCCACCGCTCAGTAGTCGGGCTCTGCACTGCCGTAGTGAACTGTGGGGAGTGCCCCACAGGAATCTACCTTGACTTGGGGACTACAGAGTAATGAGTTAAATAGAGGGTGTCCACTTCCTTATCACCAATTGGTTTTAAGAAAGATATGGCTGCTATTTAACCACAGAACTCTGGAGTTAAGCGAGTCTGAGGTAAGAAAGCCCAAGGATGGGTGACCCACTGGGAAGTTTGTCGACAAGGGGTGAATCGATCCAACAAATGGTTTTCTCATTAACAGTCTAAAACTCAATCATTTTTTCACTTTTATTTTTTCAAAAGTACCCAAGTAAAGGTTTGTCATAATAATGAACTAAATGGTAAACTCTAAAGTTAGTAAAAAAAATTGAAAAAACTAAAAATTACGAATATTAAAAACTGGAAAGTGAGAATATATTTGAGAAACATAAAACCGGAACTAGTAAATATTTTAAAACCAAACTATAAGAAATTGAGTTAATTATCAAAATAGGACTAAAAGTCATTCGCTTTGCACAAATAGGACCAAAAAATAAACTATGTTTTCATAGGACTAATTATGTTTGTCTTGGACAAATATACCCTTATACCTATTGGAATGTTTTAATTCATAATAAAATAATAAAAAATAATGAAAATTCGTAAAATATACCAAAAAATTAATAAAAATATTTTGAATAATAATAAATTAAAAAAAATTTAAAAAAAATAATTAAAAAAAAATTAAAAAAAATTAAAAAAAAAATCAAAAAAATATTTTTTTTGTCACCGCCGCCTATACCGCCCCAGCACCACCACCTCTAGTCATTTGGGGAAAAAATGCCAAATTTATTATGAATTCCATATTTTTGGCATAATTCAGAATGATTTAAGATGGAAGAAAAAAAAAGTTGGCATTCTCAAAGAGAAATATGCCATATTTTTGGCATTTTCCGAAAAAAATGGAAGTTTGTAGGAAATATGACATTTTTTTTTAACGGTCGGAGGTGGTGGTGAAGGGAGGCAGTACCACCACCTCCTGTCACCGGGGTAAAAAAAATGCCAAAAAAATTATGAATGCCATATTTTTGGCAAAAGTCAAAAGGATTCAAGTTGGCAGAATGAAAATGTTGGCATTCTCATAGAGAAATATGCCATTTTGTGGAATTTAAATAAAAAGTGGCATTTTTTACACCGATCGGAGGTGGTGGTTCAGGGAGGTACTACAGGCGGTGGGAAAGGTATCCATATTTTTTTATAATTTTTTTTATGGAGTTTTACTATTTTTTTATTAATTTTCAAAAAAAAATTAAAAAAAAAAATCTTATTTTTTATTTTATAAAAATTTTATTAATTTTTTTATTATTTTTCTACGAATTATTGAAATTTTTTCGAATTTATTATGAATTAAACATTTAATTATGACTTTTAGCTATCTTTTACTAATATTTAAAGGAGGGGTAAGAATGGAAGGAAGAAATGAGTATGTTTCCAATAGGACCACTATGGTCCTATTTTGGAAAAAAAACATAGCAAGTCCTATTTTGAATTTTTGCCATAGTTTTAGTCCTATTTGAAGTAATTTCTATAAGAAATTATAAAACTAACGAAAAAATAATGAAGAAAAATTTAGGGAAAAAGACTCTAATAGGACTAAAACATAACCTCTGAACTTAAATAGGACCAACTACTTTTATATACCTAAATAGGACTAAAATTGATCGGGACAAATATACCCTTCATTAAGACGGAGCATCCTATGCACTCAGAATATGAACGAAGATGTAGTGGGGTTTTTAATTTGTATACTCCGTAATTAGCAATCGCATTACTCAATTCATTCCTGAGCCGCCATCAATTTCATATACCACCATTAGGAGCTGCCGCAACCGTTGCCTGGAGCAACCATCCGCCGCCGGGAGATGACGACCGTCGATCACCACCGTACACTGCTGTGAAACTCTGGATAAGTCTTTAAGGGCATTATTGATGCAGATCGATGTCAGCAAAAGCTACATACTCCTCTCGTGTCCTCCCGTGTTGCCTTCTTTTTGAAACGCCAACGACAAAGGTTGCCCCAACTGAGCGCCTAAATTAAAGTAGCTTTGTTATCGGATGTGTCACTAGTAGAAAACAGGCTTATAGTGACACTTCGTTAGTGACACTTTTTAATATAGTGTCACTAAAATACGACATATCTTTTTTACGATGTATATGTGTCATTAGTTTCTGACACAATAGCATCAATATGAGATAGTGACGTTCACACCCTATTTTATTTTATTTTTACATTATTTTGTCATATTTTAACACAAAATTCACTTTCTTTCTCTGGTCTCCAAATCAGTTTTCTCTCTTCACTCGCACAACCCTACCCAGAGCTTCTCCGACCGATTATCTTGCTGGAGAAACTTTAACGCAGGCGTACATCTTCAAGGAATATTTCCTGACCACTGCCTCCACCGAGAAGCTCAAGTTTAAGCCAGCCGATGGTGATGGCTCATTTGCCTTCGTCAATGCGAAGCTGGCTCGAGGATTCCCCCTTCGTGTTCGGAGGTACCGCTGGAGTGATCGTAGAGGGTAACAAAACGGCAGAGTACGGTGATACGCCGACGTATGTGGCCCGATCGACATTTACATCGGTGAAAGCTAGCCGCAGCCATGGCGGTGGGAGTAGCGAATATTTGATTTTGGCTCTGAATGGATTTTTTGGGGGTTTTTTCTCTGTTTTTTTTTTCGCGTTTTCCTATTCGATTTGAATCCACCTGTTTCTGGTTGCTTGATTCCTGTGGCGAAAGGGTCAAAGAATCATAAGAAATGTCAATCACCTCGAAATGAAATTAGGAAATCCGTGAAGGAAATCGCGACACTGGTGCAGACATCAACTGATGCGCAAGGTAAGTCGTTGACTGATGAAGGCGAGGGATCAAATGTTGCAAAAATCGTTGACTGAAGAAGGTGAGGGATCAAATGTTGCAGACAAGGTGACTGATGAAACTCCTGAACCAGTTTCCAGCATTGCACCACAGAAAACCTGGGCAGGTCTCTTTCATGACAATAGAGATACCTCCCAAGGTATGCAACTGGAATATTTCCCACTCACAGGAGATGAAGTTATGCTTATAGAAGAGGAAGACATTTCCCCCCTGGTGCAGACTTGGTTTTTTCACAAGTACTTTCTCGGGATTGAGAGCTGTTAACTCTTTGGTTGAGTCTTGGGGTGTCCCATTTACCATTCTGCTTCATGATCATGGCTGGGTTATTTCCAGTTCAAAATAGAAGAAGATAGAAACCTGGTGCTCATGGGTCGTATATGACTTATGGAAAAACTTTGATTTTGAGAATTCTGCCAAAAAACTTGACGTTTGAAAGTAGTGCTTTTAAGATTGTACCCATCTGGATACAACTTCCGTCTATTCCGTTGGAGTGTTGGAATAAAAAAGCAATTGCCAAAATTGCTTCGAGGGTAGGGAAACCAATCTGTTCAGACAAAGTCACGAATGAAGGATCCATGTAATACCCTCTACCCGTAGCCCTCTCCCTCATATTCTTATTGTTCAAGGTTTTAATTTGATTGCTATACGTAAGTATCTCTTCCTATTGTCAAATGGACCCGCTACTCTATGAGGTTCTTACCTTTTATTTACATATACTTATTAATTTATGGCTAGCTATGACTACTCCATTTGTACACTTAATCATGTATGTTTGTATGGAGTAGGAAACTTTTGTTCCTTTCTTGGGGTTAATGGCTAAGTGTGCAGTGTAGGTACAGAATTTCCAAGTGTTACTCACTTTTGCAACCACGTAGCATTTTAGGAGACTTGTTTGATTATTATATTATTTATATTTTGTTCTTTAATGCATGAAGCTGCCAAATGTACACTCACATTTATAGCCTAATTAAGAATGTAGCAATGTATTTACTTATAAAATGGAGCCAATTATTCACCTATACATATATAATACTTCGAATTGAATAGACTATTTTAAAATTTGATTTACTATTTTGATTTTAGTAAGTATCAAGAAGTTACTAATTTTACCCTCTCTTTTTTATCATGACTAATTTTACCCTCTTATTCACTTAAATATAGTACTACATTTATCATAGGACATACTTATTGATTAGATTAGTTCCATTTACTTTTAACCATAAGTTATTTTGGTGTAGTTTAAATAAATTAAACATCATTCAACCATACTAATTACTAATTTTCATTTAATAGTCTTAATTACTTATATGCTTGCTTTTACTTTGAAGTTTTATCAAGTGTAAATTTTGAGGTTGTTACAATCCAGGCTTGGTTTTGCAAGGGTACTGGTTGAGGTTAATATTTCAAAGGAACCAATTACCTCATTCAAGGTAAATAGATCCTCTGGTGCTAGTGTACTGGTGCTTATGCTTGTGATGGTAGTAATGTTTGTGCCCCTGACAATGTTATTGGTGCTATGGCAGACAGATGTTGGTGCTCTTTGTGCCCCTGTAACTGAGTCTACTGGTGTCCCTTTTGCCCCTATTGTTGATGTTCAAGGTGTCCCTGATAATAATGTTTGTGATGTTTCTTATGTTGATGCCTCTGTTAGTCATGTTGCTAATATTGGTGCCTCTGTGAGTGATGCTATTGTTGTTGATGCCCCCTGACTACTAATGCCCCTAGTGCAGCCTTGGTTTGTGCCCCTGTTAATGCTGCTCCGGCAGCCCCTGTTAAACTTGCTGATTCACAAGTTTCCCTTGTGGCTTTGGATTCGGAGAGTGCAGTTTCCTCTGCTATATTGGAAGCTCAACTGAGATAGCAGTAGCTCCCATAAAAGAGGTTGCACCAAAGAGGTAACATAGATGTCTTTATTGATATTTCTCATTTTCTTCTATTTAGTTGTTGTGCCGACTTGTATTATTATAGGAAGTCGGCGCGTGATAGGTGCGGAGGGATACAACCGGACAACCGTGTATAGCTGCAAAGAACCTTAGACTTGGGTTCAAGGTAAATATTGTCTTTTTAAATTTGGCCACATTAGATACGTAGTATAAGAAAACACAATAGTTACCTTTATAATGCTATGAGCTGAGTATGATAATATTTTCATCTTCAATTTCAGTTTTAATAAGATAACTTCAATATTTTGACATTGATAATATTTTGACATTGATAATATTTGTTCTGAGTTTAATTATATATATTTGTATCATTAAACCTTATTGTGTAACCGAGTATGATAATATTTTCATCTTCAATTTCAGTTTTATCCTAGTGTGTTGTACATGAAATTCAAATGGAAGATGTATTGGGCATGAACATAGAGAGAATGGTAGAGGTTACGTGTGATTCTGTTGGAGGTGTATTGGGCATATACACCTCCATATCAATTTTATTTCTATCTATGTTGTTTTATTGATGTTTCAGGTTATGTGTGATTCTGTTGGAGTTTGCAAAGATTGAAGCAAAGGTTTCATTCTGTGCAAGTCTGCAAAAGAAGATATGTGAAGGCCTTAGGAAGTGTGGTGTAAAAGTTAGACTTGTTAGCGTTTTGTTCTTGTATATTAGTTGTTGTTTCGGGGTGTGCCCCCATGAATTATGTAGTATGTACATTCACATTTATGTGAGAAATTGAGATATAAATAAAAATCTTTGAATTTTGGTTATTTATTAGTATTAAATTATATTACATATATATATATATATTGAAATATATATATATATACTTATGATACTAATGTATCATATATCTTTATGATACCAGAGTGTCAAAAAAAGTTATGATATTATAACGTCATAATTTTATATGATATTTTATTGTCATACTTTTGTGACACTAATCTATTTAGCGATCAGTGACACTAAATTTTGTGTCACTTGCCCCGCTTGTCTATGACACTTTCAGTGTGTCATTAAATCGTTTAGTGACACAAATTTAGTGTCACCGTAAGCCATTTTTTTACTAGTGTGTGTTGGTTAGCAACTTAGCATACACATCCACACCCTGTTGTTCTCTGGAGTTGTTGCTGACCATGTTTTATCTGAATTTGTGGAAATTCAACTTGTACAGTGGAGTACGGAGTATTAATTAAAGCTGGACAACTGGCAGCCTCACAATAGGGGAAATCATGAGACTTATCCTTCATTCGTATGGGTGTGTTAATTGCCTCCGACTATTATTATTATATTATATAGTATAATAAAAAGGAAATGAGTCAATAAATGAAGGGTTGATACAAATGGAAATGAAAATGAAAAAAATCCATTTGCCAGTTTACCATTTCAAATTTCAATAAATCTTTTTGTGGTGATTTATGGTTAGTGTAGTTCATAAATAGAAACTGTGAATTCTTTGTGTTGAATACAACTTATCCTTCACCTATTACTCCGTACATCATGACACATAGTTACATACGTACATGTATATGTTTTGTTAGCTTTTTACACAGTTTCTCTAGTGCCCTGCACTCATGCTATATTGCTATCTAAAATATTTGGCATTAATTATTACAATGACATGACAATGTAATATAAAGTCATTGTTTAAAAATATCACAATGTCATAAAAATACCACAATATCACAATGTCAATCCTATATAAATACTATTTCAAAAACAATTTTAGAGACTTACAGCAATAAAAAATTATGGAGTACATTGTTTAATTTTTAATGAAAAACACATTATTGACAATGTATTATAATGTCAAGAAAATGTCACAATATCAAATAATGACAATGTCAATATTAACACTATAAACTTCACATTGTGATATTGAAAATGTCAATGTCATTGTACAAATGTCAATGTTATAAAAATGTCATCAAAAGTCGGAAAAATGTCACAATGTTAAACAATGACAATGTCATTGTCACTGTCACTGCCAATTCTATAAAATGACATTGTAATAATGACAATGTGACAATGTGTATAGTATAAAAAAATCACAACGTCGGAATAACTTTGCAATGTCAAATAATGATGATCACAATGGCATTGCTATAAAAACGACATTGTATTACTTACAATGTCAATACTGATATCAACAATTGTCGTGACAATGTCAATGCTATAAAAAAGATTATATTATAGCAAAGACGACATTCTTAAAAACAATGGCATAAGTTCATAACATTGATAAAAGAATGTTTCAAGTTAAAAATAATACTCCGTACAGAATAATAAAATATACTAAAAGAATGAGAAAGAAACATTAAACAAAACAAACAAAAAAGAAAGATGGAAGACAACTTGGAACGAGTTCATTAGCTCAGGAGGTGAGGCAATACAATACAACAGCCTAATTGTAAGAAAACAACAAAATCTCAATCTCTTGTTCTGTTTTATGCCCTCCACTTCTTAATTTCCATATACGTTCATCAACCATCTTCGAGTAACACTGCAGCCCCACAATCAATACTCTGACCATAATCTCATCATTGTCAAATGCAGAGAGTGCAAAATTGTGCTGGAGGGGCGCATAGATTGATCTGCCATCAATTTAGGTTGTTGGTTTTTTTAATTTTCTGCTGTCGTAGTCAAGAGGAAAGGGAGAAAATTTAAAAATAGGTTGTTGGAAGAAGATGAAAAATAGGGGAGAAAGAGGTGGAGACGTACGGTGAAGAGGAAGAGAAGGATGATGAAAAGAGACATGCATCAAGGCCGGTTGGATCCGCCACCGCCTGCTTCTATGACAATATTCGTCGCTGCAAAATTGGAGAAAATAGGCCGGAGAAGCGGATAGGATTGTAGGAAAGTGTCTTTTCAAGTGGAGGATAAAATAGGAATTAACAATAAATGTGGTCCTATTCAGGTATTAAAAAGTAGAGAGTCCTATATGCGTACATCCGGAAAGATTTGGTCCTACTTAGCACCATTTCTCAAAAACTTAAACTGAAACATGTAAAAAGTGATAAAGAAAATGAAAATAAATAAAAGTAATTGACCTAAGTGGGAGTAAAACATTATCTAAATTCAAAAACAAGACTTTAAGTTTATCATTTCTTAAATAGGACTTTATTCCCGATTTAGTTAAACCCACACGTGTCTGCCCTTGCAAATACATCACAACACCCCAACCGACTGTAAAGACTTGTCTTTAGCACGCACACACACACCTGAGAATCTTTTGTCAGATTAGATTTTTAGTCTTATTTTTGTCTCATAAAACATATCAGACCTATTTTGCAATTCTATCTTGTTTTAATCTTATTTAGGGAATTATCTCAATAAATAAATAGACTGCGAAAGGGGAAATGAGGTATTCCATCCTCCGCAGTTTTTGTACTAAAACTCTGTCATCACATTGATGATATATTTAGGGTGTTTTTATTGGGTCACTGATATGCACTAATTAGTAGTGCATAAGTTTATGTTTTTATGATTGATCTGTGTGGATTGTTTATCATTTTATTTAGTTTGTAAACATTTGTGTGATTTTAGTTGTATTTGTATTTTAATTCTCATTTGTAAGTTGTAAAGTAGAGTTAGGATTTATGGTGTTGGAAAGAAAGACTTTGAAGTGAGGAAAAAGAAGATTGGACGTTCCAGGAGCTGAAACCCGACCGGGTATCAAACTCCACCCGGTCGGGTACGTTTTAACAGGCGAAGGTAGCTGGAAATTACACAGACCCGGTCGGGTCCCTTACTTAACCCGGTCGGGTCAGACTTGACCCGGGACACCAGAACGTGCCGAAGATCGCCAGAATATGGAAAATATTTGATTTTGACCAAACCCGGTCGGGTCAACTAGGGGACTCGGTCGGGTCAGACACGACCCGGGACCAAACTACGTGCAGAAACATGAGAACATGGCGAAATATTTGATTTTGACGTTGACCCGGTCGGGTATGTCCATTTACCCGGGCGGGTCAATGCCCCAGGGTGTTGAAAACACCTATAAATAGCCTCATTCTCCTTCACTTTTCATCACTCCTTCTTCCATACTCTTAAGCTCAGTTTAGAATAGTATTTCTTTTATATTTTTATAGCATGTTTAGTCTCCAAATGAGGAGCTAAACTTCTAATTCTTGGTTTTGCTCTTGAAGCTTGATTGATTATTAAAGTTGTGAGTTATTTTCTTACTTTCTCCTCTTGATTATTAATTCTTCCCTTAATCTCATTCTATATTAATGTTGGAGGGTGGCTAAGTGACGATTAGTTAACGTTCCAACATTGATTATTACTAGAAACGTTCAACAAACCGATGGTTAATCGTTGATGGTTTCACAAGTAAGTAACTTCGGTTTATTAATGCACGGTCGTGGTTAATAAACTTAAGAGGGATTAATTTTGTTGGTTAAACCGAAACCGTTGTGTTGAGGTTATCAATCTCAATTGATTTCATCAAGGAGTTAAGAGATTAAATGCTACTATCAAGTCGGTATATGGCGGTGTTCTATACTTGACTAATAGTAAGGGTTATTAATGAACGGTCGTTGTTAATAACTACCCTCGATGAATTGGATATACTCCTCGATTGAGTATTCGAGAGGGGATACGTTATAGATATAACAATGATCGACTAAAATATATCAACAAGTGGAAAGTAGCAAGACCAAGTCCCTTTTATTCTTGAATTTAATCCCATATAACTCGTTCATCTTCGTGTTTAATTTAATTAAATCACTCAACAATCAAAACCCCCCTTTATTTACTATTTATATAAAAAGAGAGTTACTCCTTTCCCTGTGGATACGAACTCTACTTCACCTATACTACGTATAAGTGTTAGTATCGATTTATTTTGAGTGCACTCACGACAAAGTGCACGTCAAATTTGGTGCCGTTGCCGGGGAGAGGCAATTGATTTTTCTTTTTATTTCATTTTAAGAAAAAGAAAAAAAAATAGTTTCAAGTATAAAGGTTTCTATTTCTTCTGAGCTTTGTAGTATATGGTAAAGTATCGTTCACTGAACGAAATCACCTACAAATCAAACCCCGAAATAGAACAAACTCTCGAGCGGTTGAAAAATAAATTCTCAAGCTCCGACTCGGGAGAATCATCAAGTGTTAGTTCTCATTCGAGCGACACCGAAGAGCCAACCACTATGGCTAATGAAACAAGAACGTTGAGGGAGCTCACGGCTCCGAATCTTAATCAGCAACCCTATGTATCACTTTTCCAACTCTTGATACGGGGGTCACATTTGAGCTAAAATCTGGGCTCATTCATCTACTTCCCTCTTTCCATGGTCTACGGGGGGAAGACCCGGACAAACATCTATCGGAATTCCATATTGTGTGCACAAGCATGTGCCCCAATGGCGTATCCGAGGAACAAATCAAGCTAAGGGCTTTTCCTTTCTCTCTAAAAGACACCGCGAAGGATTGGCTTTTCTATCTTCCTTCGGGTAGCATCAACACATGGGCTCAAATGAAAAAGAGCTTCCTCGACAGGTATTATCCCGCATCTATCTCTTCAAGCCTCAAAAAGCAAATCAGCAACATTGAGCAGGCGGATGATGAAACCTTGTACGAATATTGGGAGCGCTTTAAAAAATTATGCGCTAGTTGCCCATATCATGGATATTCGGAACAAGATCTCATCCTCTACTTCTATGATGGGCTTGTTGATCAAGATAGACGCATGGTAAATGCGGCATGCGGAGGGGGTATTGTTAACAAAACCCCTTATCAAGCAAGAGACCTCATTTCGGAGTTAGCC